TTTGCAGAGGGCAGCGAGTCAGGGTGGGCAGGCCTGCTTTTCCCTGCAGACCTCATGATTTGATTCTCTGCCCCATCACTGCATGTGAGCCCAGAGCAGCACTGCACGCTCACACTTGATGCACGTGCGCCTGCACACTCCGTGTGGGCCATCTTGGACACCGTCCAGTGAGTGACACTGGGGCATAGAGAGGCGGAAGGGATCGTGTGAGGATGGATTCCTTTGTCCCTCTGATGTCTTGCAAGGATAGGACAGCTTTGGACTGCAGGTCCCTCCTCATCCCTGCATGGGAGCAAAGCGCGGGGGTTTACAGATGAAAACCACTGTGGACAGAAGTAAATATGTGGCAACTGCCCTGCTCAGAAGAGAGCTGTTCTCCACACTGAGTAGCTGTGTGTGCATGCACACACACACACACATATTAAATACACACACACACATACCCATCACTCACACACACCATCAGGTCTAGTTCATGTGTGAGGTCTCCTCCCACTGATGAGTCAAAGCCTCTGCCCTCCTGGGGATCACATTCCAATAGGAGACACAGATACAATACAACCAATCGCAATTGGCGATGCTCTGAGAAAACGGACGTCCGACACCTGCCCGCTGCCCAGGTCTGCCGCTGGGCTGTATGGGACCTGCGGATAGGGGGCACCATAAAGTTGACCCATTGCTTCCTCCAGTTTTGGGGCTCCCAGCCTCTACTGCACTCTGGAGCCTTGCCTTTCTTCCCTGGGTGCCTGGGGTGTGTTTCTGGAAAGTGCTGCCACCCTGTGACCTCTGTCCTCGGTCACCTCGGGATGCCTGGTGCACTCAGTGTGGGCTGAGCACCTGGCTGCCTCTCTCTGGTGCTCTGGCTCCATGGTTCGCGGTTCGCGTGTGGTCAGGGGCCAGAGCGCTGGCGCTTATCCCCACTTCCTGCCCTGCCTTGACCTGCCCTGCGTGGGGAGGGTGATGCGGTTCTTCTGTGCATAGTGACATACCCAGTCGTGGATATGGGCCCATCTGAAAGATTATAACATTGGGTTTTGATATTCTCAAAGGGCTAAGAGAATGGAACATCTTTAAATGTGACCAAAGGGCATGAAGTTTTGTTGTTTCTCATCAAGAGAGGCTGGATAAGAAACAGGTGAAGCTAACACAGCCCCCTGGGCTGGGCCCCGGGATGGTGGGTGTTCTGCCAAAGGTGGTTGACGGTCTGTCCCTGCTGAAGATAACAGGACAGCCATCACCTCTTCACCCTGGAGTGATGGTGACAGATGCCACTAACATACTCAGTTACCTCGGGGATCCGTGAGTTCCAGGACTGCCTGTCCAGCATGGCAGATAAATGGGGCGATAAGGGATGGATTTTGGCCAGGGCATGTGGGTACCAGAGCCAGAGGGCCATTTCTGCCATCTCTGAGTCCAGAACCATGGACCTCTGATTTCTACCCCTCTTCCCACCCTGGCCTGGCCAGACCATTAGGCCTTTGTCCTCTTGTTTTTGAACATAGCTTTGCCAAGTGCATGTGTCATTTTCTTTGTTTATTCATGTTGTTAGGGTCTTTTTTTACCTGCTCAGGTGTTTGTGGCTCTAACTTCTCCCTCTGTGATGTCTTGGAAACTGGACTTGTCTCCGGAATGGTGGCAGTGATAGGGATGGACAGGTGGAGCGGGACAGCCAAAGGCTGGCTCCCTGTTGAGGTTGGCCGCACTGGACTGTGTTTACAGGACTCACCCTGTCCTGCCAGGGATCGCCAATGGCTTGCAGGCAGGCTGGACTCGGGCAGGTTTGCCTTGGGACCTCCCAGCCTGTTGGGGTCTAGGAGTTCCGAGTGTAGCCCCTACACATGCTTATGTTGTGGTTGAGGTCATCAGGGCAGGAGCTGTGGGGGGCACATGGCATTTGTGAACACTGGCATTCTATAGGAAAGACATTGGGCTGTGGGGACGCTTGTGGAATTCATGTATTCTGTGGTGAGCATTTTGGACAGATGTATTTTCGGGCTGGATTCACTGCCATGAGGTTATTTTCTTGGAGCATTTCCCTTGACCTGGCTTTGTCCTTGGTCAGCTCTCTGACACCTGTTTGCCCTTTGGACTGCTTCGCACATGCATGCAAGGGGCTATGGCATTTGGAGACACGCTGTCCACAGGGGTCTGGTTTGCACTGACATCGCAGAGAACTTGGGTGTGAAGATAAGGGAATGGTGTGAGGGCCCCTGTCATCCAGGAGCACAGATACGGAGGGGCCACCCTGGTTGGCATAGGACCGCACCTTCTCCACGCTCTTGCTGTCTGACCTCCTGCGGCCTGGCCTCTGCCCCAGGGGGTGTGGAGCTCCTTAGCTTCTCATGCGTTACTTCTGCGTGATTGCTAATCATGCATTGATTACTGTTATCATGAAGTCAACATGTAATCATATGTTCTTTGGACAAAACTTCTTAGAAAAATGGAGTTGCTATCAGTCATTTTCCAGGGAATAAATTAAAGTGGAATTTGAAAAAGTCTTAGAAAGAGCTTCCTCCGTGTAGCCCCCTGGGAAGACAGTGGAGCAGAAGGGCTTGTGCAATTTCTGCGTCCTCATTGCTCCCCGTCTGCACCCCCGCAGCCCGCATTTATTACTGCATGGCCCTTGGGAAAGTCTTCGAGTCAGGTCTCCACATACTGGCAGGAACCATTCCCATGTTGCATGTTCATTTTCTTTTCTTATATTAAAAAAGCCCCCAGGAAACATTAATGCAAAAACCATGCTTTTATGTGTCATTAATGTACGTCCTAAAATGTGAAATCCTAAAAACAAGCTAAGGGTATTTGATGTTTCAGAACTCTGTTGTCTTCTCTCTCATGCTCTGCATTTTAAAGGAAATGGCAGTGGCTGGGCTAGATTCACAACCCAGAGCTGGAATTATAAACAGAGAGTTCATGTTGGAGGGTGGATGATGCTGGCGTTAAATGGGATTTCCCAGCTGGAGGAGACAATTAGTAATTACATTTCATCTTGAATCTCATTGGTATCTGTCTCCTTATTGTTCTTTAATTTTCTGAATGTCTTTTTCTCTGCTCCTGTCTAAAAACACAAATGAAAACCCAGACATGCTTTGATCCTCTGTCCCAGTGTCCCTTCGTTCCTGGCTGAGCCCGACAGGCTGTGTCTGCCCTCTCTGTTTCCCTTGTCTTGTCTCTCCCCTGCCCCCTCCCGGGATCTGCCTTGGGAAGGAGTCTGTGTGCCTTTAACTGCCCCCTTCCGAGGCTGTCCTGTTCTTGCTGGTCTGCTGCCGGTTGGCCATGCTGACCGCCTGCCCTCCCTTAGGGCTGGGCGATGTCACTCATCTCCCCTCACTCCATCTTCCTGTCCTCCCAATGCTCTGTCCTAATACCTGCATTCTGCTGCTACCCTTGGTTTTCCCTGCCCATTCTACACACTCCCCATTGATAGTATTATTGGCTTTTATTACTGTTTACAGGCCGATGATTCTCTGCTCCGTGTTTGTAGGCCAGGAATGTCTAGAACCGTCTCTCCATTTGCCTACTAGATGGGGCCACTTGGGTGTCCAATGGGAAACGTAAACTCAATTTGTCGAAAACCAGACCCTAGTCCTTTTCTCCTCCCTTAAATGCACTTCTTTTCGAACTTTCCTCTCCTTATATGGCATCATTAGGTTCTTTGGATGACACACTCTCAACAGGAAGTTGGGTGTTATGTTGGACTCCTTTATCCCCACCCTCATCTCCAGTTTGTCACCAAGCTCTGTGTCCATCCTGTCCCCAGTTTGCTCTTGTTCAAGGCCTCTTTTTTCAAACTCACCACTGTGGCGGGAGGTCAGGCCTTTACTGTTTCTTGCCTGGACTGACCTCCCATATCCATCGTCTTGCTTGTGCAGTCTTAGAGGATCCCTTTAGCCTTTTGATGTCATCACATCTCTCCCCCACATCAGCATGTTACAGCTCCCCACCCCCTTCCCCCTTGTCCTTCATGTTCATGATGAAACCCACCTGCCCTTGACCTCATTCTGTCCCTCTTCTCCCTGACCTTCCTTAACTGTGCATGTGGCTCTGTGAATATGTCATATGCTCCTGTGTCCCTGACTTTGTGTATAGGGTTTCTTTCTGGATTGCCCACCCAATGTGGGAAAGTCCTATTCATCCTGCCACTGGGGAAGGTATTGTGTCCTGAAGGGGGCCTCCCTGACTCCCCTCCGACGTCAGGCTTGTTCCCCATTGCTCCATCCCTCATGTGCCTGTGCATTAGCTCAGGTGTCTGGGAGGCCAGGGAGAGGCTGTGGCTTTTCTGCAGTGTCTGCATCACAGTGTAAGAGCAAGTACCCTGTTCTGAGCATCTAACCTGTGCCAGGCCCAGGCCCTCAAGCTTCACTTTGCAGGAGCACATTGTGCCTCAAGCCTGTGAGTAGCTAGTGCCATTGTGCCCATGTTAGGGATGAGGAAACTGAGGCTCAGAGCGGTAGTGTTAGATGTCCAAAATGACCCTGCTAGGAAGCCAGCAGAATTCAAACTCAGAAAACCTCTTTCCAGAGCTTGAGCTCCCAGCTCTCAGCAAACTGTCCCTTTGCATGTGTGAGCTGGGAAGAAAGTTGTCCCTAAGTGAGTAAAGATTAAGTGGGATAATTAGTAGGTTATGAGCTGGCATAGCTCAGAAACCTTTAGGAGGCATATAACTGTAGAAAGAATTAATGGTGCTCTTAGGAATAAATGAGAATAGCTCTACTTCAAACAATTTTTGTTGTAACAAGTGTTTCTTTTGAAGTTTCTAATCAGTAAGTTTATAGTTGAGCACAGAAAATTACTTAAAAACCTAAACATGTGTGTTTGTTCTTATATCTATGCACACACTACGTGATGTATAGGTATATGTGTATAAACAAACATAGATATATATGTTTGTGGATTATTGTATGTTTACATAGAGTTATACACATACATGTGTGGGTATAAGTTATTTCCATAGCAGTATAACTGATTTCCTCCAAGTCGAGTGCTCTGACCCTCTCTAGATGTCAGTTTCACATTCTGGGCAATGTAAACGTCACAGTGCTTGAAGACAGAGTGGCATGTGAGGTAAACAAGCTTGCAGCAACTGGGAGTTGTATCTGGGTGGGTCTCCTGCTGACTGGCAGCCCCATGTCCCCTGCAGACTGCAGAGAGATCCTGCTTCCTATGGTGACGGATCAGCTCAAGTACCATCTGGAGAGACAGGAAGACCTGGAGGCCTGCTGCCACCTGCTCAGTGACATCCTGGAGGTTCTGTACAGGAAGGACGTGGTGAGTAATGGCTGTGTTTGCAGGCTGCCTAGAGGACCCTGCAAGAAGGTTGTCCTGTAACTCATGTAAACCCCAGCCTCCTAGTACAAAGAGGCACATTTGATTCATTTAAAAAGAAATGGCCTTCATTTTAACAGTTAGCTTCCCTCCCTGCCTCCCTCTTTCTGTAGAGCACACCCTTAAATTATTTTTATTTATGCATCAAGCATAATTATAATACAGTGTGTGTTCTATCACATTGAAAAAATTTTTAAGTTTATTTCCTGTGACTTCTCAGCTAAATGCCTACCAAGACTTAGATTTTGATTCTTCAAGGTCAGACAAAGGCTTTGGTAGTAAGATTGGAAATAAATGGAGGCTAATTACCTTCATTCTTTCTTTCAGCTCTTACTGTATCAAAGTAGTACATGCACGTAGTTTTTCTGTTTTCAAAAGTCAGTGATGCTTCTGAGAGTTTTGAGAAGAGTTCTCTACCTTTTCCCCCCATGTTCCTCTCCCCACACGTAATTTTTTTCTGTACTTTCATAGTTTTTTTGAAAACAAAGGTATTTCCTTTTGTGTCTTTAAAGTGTATGTTTATTGCATTGACCTGTTTTCTTAATCAAAACTTGGTGCACGCATGTATGGAAAAGCCTCCCATCCCCCAGATGCCCTGCGTGTACATCTATCTGTGCACGTGTGCTTGCACCTCATGGACTCTCCAGGTGTGTTTGGCAAAGCGCCAGGGCCTCGTCCGTCTGTGCCTCTTGTAGTGGACGGGTGGACTGGGCTTTTCCGGTTGGCAGGGCTTTTGTTCTTAGCTCTCTCCCACCTGACTCCCAGATACCTTCCCGGTCAGCACACGCACTCCCCTGTCCTGGCCACTCCCTTCCTGCTCTGGCTCATTCTCGCAGTCTGGCTAGTGACTTGGAAGAACGAGGTCAGATTAAGTGAGTTCACAGTGATGGTGCCTAATCAGTGCTCCAGGGCCTTCCCTTTTCTGAGCGAAGAAAAGGTTGGGAGTAGAGAGGTTGTATGGCTGCATCTCCCAGAGGAGGTGGTACCTGCCTTGACCTTGTGCAGCAGCTCCCAGGGAGCATATCGAAACATGTGTCGGTTCATGAGGAAGGCTCAACAATCCCATTACAAACAAAATGAAAGAGCAGGTTCTTGCTGATGGAGAATTCTCCGGCACTATGAATTTTAGATAGTGTGCTGAAGTGATATTAAACATTTTATGCCATGTGATTGTTCCCCGTGTTATTCGGATTGGACATGCAGAGTCATCTACGGTTGTTAGCTGCCTGCCTTCCATTTTCAAATGGCCAAGTGTCTTTAGAAAACTAATTGGTGGGCTAATCAGGGATCATAAACATGTTGTTGTTTAGAAAGATTTGCTTTTATTTTTAAGGTTTGCTTAAATTAAATTACTATGACGATATAACAAATTATCATTAATGGGCTATAATTAATAAGACGCCTTGAATTTTCTTTGTGAAGGCTTTGCCTTTGACAAGGACCATTTTTCATCTCGTTAAGGGTTATAATTGATTTATTCTTTACAGGGTAAATGGATTCAATGACAGCCACCAGAGCTTGCATGTTAATGATTGCCTTAGGTATTGGTTCTCATGGGTGTGTCCTCCACAGGGGCCAACACAGAGGCACGTCCAGATAATCATGGAGAAACTCCTCCGGACAGTGAACCGGACCGTCATTTCCATGGGTCGAGATTCCGAACTCATTGTAAGTGCTCAGAGACATGTTTGGGTATTTATTTGTGGCTGAGAGCATCTTTCCCAGGAATGTCATTTACTCTAAAGCTTGAAAAGCCATCTGGCCTTTTCCAACTGCCTTTCGAAACTAAGCTTATTCTACTACAGTATAGCAAGTAGTTGACATGCATTTATTTACAGTCTGGTGTGTAAAATATATTCATTTCCAGTGATTCTAGAAGCAAGTGTCAAAATTCACCAGCATTTTGGAGTCCGAAGCATTTAGTTCTAGTTTTCTCATGACTTCTAGCAGAGGTTGTGTACTTTCCTCTATGTTCTCATTCTCCAGGTAGTTTCCTTCTCCAGATTTATATAAAATGTCATTAATAAAATTTTATGAATGACCTTCAAAACCAGTTGACGTACTCCACCTTGGCTACTGTATTCTCTTACTGTCTGCTCTGATGTGTTATAGATGTGTCTCATACGTAGATTGTTTAGGCCTGAAATGGTATGGGTTATTTTGTTGTTTAAGAAAGTTTTAACAGTAATCTAGACAGTCTTCCGTGTTTTATATTATGGTGCCTTCTTTCCAGCACGCCTCTCTCCTTCTTGTCCTCAGTGTTCTTAAGCTTGTTTCTTAGGCAAAAGATGCACATGTACGTCTTGTTTAACTTCTTTCGTATCTTGTACATGTTGCCATTTAAATTTGGTTGATGGCTTTTCAAAAAAATAACTCTTCCTAATCAAAGAATTAAAAATCAGTGGCAGTTTTCACTGACAGTCATTCTAGGCACATTGGTCTCCCTTGTGTGACCTTAGTTCCTTCTGTGTCTCCTGGGAGCGCAGCAAGGATGCTGCCATGTGTCTCCTTCAGACGGCGAAGCGGGAACGTAGCCCTGGGCTTTGGTTTCTGTGGCCGACGTCACAGTAACAGATACGTTTTGGGTGATGCACAGAAGGAGAACGAATCCTGCTGAGTATGTTTCCGTCCAGCAAAATAATTGAATTTGTGCCTCAGAGTTTGGGTACATGTTATGTTCAGGTTTTCCTTTTGAAGGTGTATCTCATTTAGGTTGGGATTACTAGGTATGTACAAATTAGGAAATAAAAGATTCTCTTATAAATTGGTTTTATTTGCAGTGGACGTCGTTTCTTCCATAAAAGCAGTTTTCATATTCCTCATCATGGCTGTTCTTCTCTGTAATCTTGAATCCCTTTGTATGGGTGGGAGCAGACTGAGCCCCACGGAGCAAGATGCAGATCACGTGACCCCCTGGAGCAGGCACCCTTGGGGGCTGCTGTTCTTGTCTTTCCTGGATTGTGCTGTGGGCACTCTGGAATGTTCTCACGGGGTAGCAGTGTGAGAGCACCTTACGTAGAATGAATAACGAGTGGCTGCACGTAGAGACATGTTTATTGTCATTCTTCTAACATCCCTATTGGAATGGGCTGGATTAGGGGCTGGAGTGACATGATGGGACTCACGGGGTTGTGGGGAGCGAGGGATGGGCGGATGCAGTGATGGCCATGTGGAGGCAGGTGGACTACAGAGGTAGCCCTGTCTTTGGGTTTGACCCCAGCTGTGTGCCCACTTGGGTCCTAGCTCAGCAGCCGGCAGTTAAGCTGGGGAGAGGCGGGAAGGGAAGAAGCCCATAAGGGGTTGGATGGATCGTTGGATTGTGGAGAGATTGGAGACATGCTCACAGCTAGATCGGAAGAGCTCACGGAGGTGGAGTGGGGCGTGGGGGACGTGGTGACCTTTCTCTGGCCATGTGGTCTGCGTTGCCTTTGGGAAATCTGTCCCATCAGCCAGAATGTTAATAACAGCGACAGTAATGGCAGCTCTTGGTTGAGCCGTCGTTTCTGTGCCGGGGCCAGCTAACGGGAGGATTCTGCTTGATCATCACCTTGTGCATGTGCCACTGCAGACAGAGCCTGCGGAGAGGGGACAAGTGGCTGTAGGTGCCACGGCCAGCATGGTCATGGGGGCTGGTGGCGCTGATTTGGAGCCATGGCTTAGCCCCAAAGCTCCTCTTCTGTTCAGGCCACTATGCGGGGTGCTGATCTCAGTGGTGTTCCAGGGGCTACTGAAGAGGCCTCTGAGTCACTCCCAGATCTCCGTGCAGTTGGGGAGGCTGCTGCCAGGGGAGCAAGCACTCTGTTTCCACCTGTCAGCCATTTCCATGGGCCAGACCAAGAGTTGGTCGCCCCTTTCCTGAAGGGTTTGGAGGAACCCAGGTGTTCTGAGGCGCTCTTAGGAGTTTTAGGAAGAGCCCCTGCGTGTTCAAAGGCTGGAGTAAGACGGCGAGGACTTCGCATGCTGGAGGTGGCACTATGGCAGTGAGGACTTAGCACACCAGCCTTACCCAGCTGTTCCCTGTTCCTGCTGAGCAGGCGGCAGGGCTCCAAGGCACCATCGGGGGTGGGAGAGGAGAGCCCACTGCCCACGCCCAGGCCCTTTCCCCACCTCCCTGACCCCCAGCAGAAGTCTCCAGAAGCAGGAAGGGGATTTCAGTCCTACCCTGACTCCTCCCAACTCCAACATCTCCACTACCTATCAAAGGAGTCCAGGAATTCCTTTTGTAAAACTAAGTAGGCTGTCATGGAAGGAATAACAAAAGAGTTCTGAGTAAGCTATTATTATTTAATGAGCAATGACAGCATCAAGATGTTTTTAGGAAGGGCATTCATGATGTAAAATTAGAGTTGCTTAGAGGGATCTTTCAGTCACCACGGAACCATGAGCCCGGCTGTGACGCCCACAGCCTAGCACAGGTGCCCCCGCTATGCGGTGTGTGTGACTTTGCTCTCGTGTTGGTCAGATGCAGATTTCTGCATCGGCGTCTTAAGTTCACTGCTGTTGCTCTGCGAATTTAGATTAGAGGAAGATCCAGGGGAAAAATATCCCTGACAAGGGGGACAAAACACTTCATCAGTGGACCTTCTGGTGTAGAAAAGAGCCTAAACTGGTTTGTAGACCTGTCTGGGGTAAGCGGTAGCACTCCTTTTAGCATAGAGATTTCTGTGATTATGTGTCTGCTACTCAGTTTTGCATAAATGCAATGGAAATGGTCAGCCTAAAAATTTTAAGTAATCATGGACAGTGGACTTAAAAAATGAAAGTGATTTAAAAAATTTTGGATAGATGGGCTTCACTTCATGACTGAATCCAGGATATTGCCAACATTAATACTAGAAATGTGACCTCTGTTTTGTTTGGACTTAGTCATTAATGGGGAATGCAGCTGTGGCCTGATAATTTCCTCATCTATTTATGTGTAGAAGTGAGAAACCGGAAACCTCACATGTCATTGGAGAAGCTGTGACATACAGTGTAAGCCTTTTATCTGTGGTATTTTATAAACAGTATAGAGTTGATTGTATATTATTTGTTTTCATTCATACCTTTCAACATTATATTTGAATTGAGCTAAGAGGATGCATCTCATGCATAAGATGAAAATATGCCATGATCCTGGAGTATTACCCTCTTTTAACAGACAGAACCCCATCTGGCATGCATAGAAACATAGACCGTGTGGATGCCTAAAACAGGCCTTAGCACTGGAACCTTGCAATAAGCTTGCCACAGAATTAAGATGCTGTTTTATCTTTATTCTAGTGTAGTGTGTTACTGTAGAGTAATTGAGTGAGGTGCTTCATTTAATATTGTCTGATTTCAGGTGTTATTTTTTGCTTCCTCTTTGCAAAGGTTCCCAGGCCCTCAGTGGTAGGGAACTTGGTGCGCTTGGTTCTGAGTGGGGCCCCGGTGGGTTGGGTGCTCTTCCCTTGTGGGCAGGTGACCTGGTAGCACGCGCTGTCCTGCACCACAGACATGCACGTGCACACACACACGCACACCTTGGCTGGAATAAGTGCTGGTACACAATATGCTGCTGCTTTTAAATGATCAGATTTATATTCCCTTAATGGGTCCTTTAAAGATGTAATTGAGTGTGAAGGACCTTTAAAGATTTTGCTGCAGCCTAGATGCACGCCGGAAGACTGGGCCTACTGATGCACTAAAATGCGAAGGTGGGCCTCGTCTGAGGAAAGAGTCCCTTCCAACAAGACGTGGGCTTAGGGAAGGGAAAAATCCGCCTGGTTTCCCACTTGGTCTTGTGACCACCAGGCTTCCCGGTTCACTAGAGCCAAGTGATGGAAGTTATTCTGTGCTCCCTCTGACCACCAGCTGTGCGGGACATTGATGGGGCCGGAGCGGGTCACTGCGGGTCACTGCGCCAACAGCACCGCTGGCGGGGAAGGTGCCTCGAGTTCACCCCCAGTGCTTTCTTTGAGTCTCGGTGATCTGTAAGGACCGGACGTGCTTCTTCACTTGGAAAACAGTATAAAAGAATTGGCCTCCCGGTGAAGAGAGTCCTTTTACTGACTCGCGACCAAGTATTTGCACGAAGGTGTTATGTCCCATGCATGAACATTGAATTTGCGATGTTATTTCTACTGGAATTTATGTATGAATGTGCTTTCTTAAAAAATGCTATTCTTAATCTTCATTTGCAAAAGAAAATGATACGTATGGACAGTGTCTGGCTTTACCATATGAGTGTCCAAAAAAGCATTTCTAATCCTATGTTTGGTAGTAACACTCCCTAAAAGCACATGGCTTTCAGAAAAGCGCCGCCTAAGCTCTGAGGACTGTGGACATTCTCTCGTCCTTTGGTATTGGTGCGGCAGTTTTTCCTGCCTTTCTCATATTTCTGCGGCCCTAGCATTTTTTTCCAAGGTTGGTCACTGACTGAATTTACTGCTGAGAAAATAAGAACCATGTCATTGCCTGGGCAGAATGTGCTCTGAAACTCTTGCATATTCATACCAAACCGCAAAGGTGTCTTAAGTACTGAGCTACTTAAAAGGCATTCTTCTGCTCCCACAGGACCTTCTTATCTGCCAAAATACGTGCTGCACATTATAGCACGACGAGTCAATGGCAATTCACAAAATAGAGTGTTGTTTCTGAATTGTACAGTTCTTTTCTTCTGGTAAATAAATTGATCACAGACTTACCCCATGCCGCGTGTGTCAGTCATAGAGTTTTTCTAGATAAAAGGAGATAGATCCATGTGGAAAGCAGCCACCGTGACCTTTAGATGACACTGCCCCGGTGAAATTGCCTCACTTAGCAATCAGGTCAAATTTTGCTTGCTGATGGAAACGCACCCGAAGAACCAGTCTATGGGTGGTGGGCTTTGTAAATGGGCCGGGCTGTAAGAAACAGTGTGGAAGGGAGAAGTTCTCAGCTTTTCGGTTCTTGTTCTCTCCTGTGAAAGCCAGAAAGCGAGCATTTGATTTGCAGTTTCTCTCTGGAGCTGTCACTGTGGACTGTGCATCTCGTCATATCACGCCTACGACAGGACCCCAGGGCGAGCGGCTTTGCAGGGCATGCGCACTGTCACTGCTTGGACTTAGAGCCAGCCTGAGGCCGGCCCATCAGCCATGATACGATGTTCATGACACCTCGGGCCTCATGGCAGTGGATACCTGACAGCCCTGTAGGATGTGTGGGGAACTTGTGCCAACAGCCTACACCCTTTCCAAGAGGGCATGGATTTCCCACACCTTGCATCCTTCCCTGTTTATACTCTGCTGGAGTCAAGGGACCGTCAAAGATTGAAGGAGCAAAACAGAGGTCCTGGGACCTCTCATGGGAGGCTAGTGACACGCTGTAAGAGTGACTGGTGGGCATCTAAGCAGGAGAGGGTCCTTTGTATCTGGCTGTTTCTAAGAGGGGACCTCTGGGGCAGCAGCAGGTGGCTCACAAATGGTAATAGAACAGGACTTGGAGGACCCCCCTTCCTGCTGCTCTGGGGTGGTCACTGGGCCTTCCTTCCCACTCTGCATGTGGGCTGCACTCACCTCATCCCTTTTTTTTTTCAGTATTAGAATCATTTATTTCACACCTCTCCCACTACTTTAAGTGACAGATGAGGCACCCTGCCCTGCAGAGGAAGATGCTGGGCGGCCAGTGGTGACTGCTGGTCAACTGCTGGCTTCCCCCTGGGCTATGCAAATCTAGGTTTTGCTTAAAATGTCCCGCAGTCTCTCCAGGGGAGCTGGTGAGGGCAGTGGGGGCCTTCCATCTCAGCCAACCGTGGCTCCCCCATGCTTGCAGGTCTAGTCTGCTACTGCAGAGACCAGGCTACCAGGTGGCCCTCGCCCAGGGACCAGGGGTTGGTATCTGGCTGGTCTCCAAGGGGAGCGGGAGGGGTGGGGTGCTCAGCCCAGCATGGGAGCTGGATTTCCACCCAGGGGCAGGGAGAAGAACGGAGGGAGGCGGCTGCTGCCTGCAGGGGTCTGGAGAGCTGGGTAATCTGGATCCATCTAGATTGTCGGAAGATCTAGAGAGAAGCTGTCTCCACGGGTGATTGAAGGACTTGCCCAGAAACACTATGGAGTTCAGTCATCTCTCGAGGCACTTAAACATTAGACAACAGTTAGCCAGATCCTGCTTGAGCTCATACCGTGCCTGTGCCCTGCAAAAGCCATCTTGCCCTCCTGGTGGCTGGAGCCCACGCTGGGCGCATGGCCAGGTAAGCTAGGCGCCCCTGGAGTCGAGGCCCCCCCCCCACCCCGGCAGTGCCCGTGCCTCCCGAGGCTCGTCTCCTCGCGCAAGGACCCCATGAGGGTCTTTTTAGCCTGAACATTCTTCCCTTTTTATTACTTTCTTAGGTTACTTTTGTTTTCCCAAGTGATTGAGATCATGAAATAAGTGTAATAGCCACACAAAACATTACCTTTGATTTTTTTATTTAAAAATTAATAAAGAACTTAGTGACAAGTATAATAATTTAATCTCTATACGTAATGCCATGAGAACAACTACATGGGAGGGGGTGCTGTACTTTTTACCTTGGTTTTGTGTCATAGTCTGTAGTTGGAGCTTTCTGAGGAGAACTCATCAGTTAACGACACTGCAATTAAAATGTGAAATTAGTCTGAGAATCTTTTTTTCTGTTCTAAAGATTTATTTTTAAGTAGGAATTAGCTTATCTCCAATTTCCTTTTTGACTCTGAAAATTGTGTTTTATTTTAGTTTTTTGGTCTAGACTGCTTTCAGAGAGTGACAGTATTTCTAGCAGGACCTCTTCTTGTTTAGACAGACGTCAAGTTCGAATTAGAAAGCTGCTAACAACACCCTTATTGCATTTCACTAAGATAGCTGGGATTCTTAAAACACAGGAGAGAGAACTTCTTGCAAACGTTTTTGTAACGTTAGTTAAAAACAGTATAAAATACATGAGACATTTTTTAAATTTTATGTCTACATGAAACAATCGCACTTTCTTCATGGTGCACGATGGACTTGCTCATTCTTCTGCAGCAGAAATATTTCTCTGTTGTTTGCTTATCTTCAAGGACTTACACCCTCATAGAGTGTTTCCACGAAAGATGTGTGTTTTTCTTTTAATTAAAGTGAACATCTGCAGTGAAGTTTGAGTAATCCCCAAAGAATGCTTACGTGATAGACTCTTCATTTTTTTTCTTGGCCTGGTCTGATTGCTGATCACTAGGTCTTTGCGAAATCAAAACACTTAGAACTAAAATAGATTTGCTGTTGATTCAGGAGGAAAATGCATGGCAAGAAATAGCTCCAATCTGAAAAAATGCAGGTATAGACTCTCTCACCAAGGGTGGCCACTTGGTTTGTGGCGTCTAATCAGCGAGGTGTGCGTGTTGGCCCTAGATGAGATAGGAAACTGTTGGACAGAAACGTGAAGACTAGATTTTCTTGTGTGTTCACAAACTATTCAAAATTTAAGTTGTACAAAAAAAGGCAAAATAAGATCCTTACTTCCTATTGTGAAAAGCAAAAGGTTGATAGACAAAGTCATTAATCGATAGGGGCTTTTGTATTTTTTATAAAAAGATATTTGCAAAGGTGCAAAGGAATGAGTGAAAAAATAAAGGAACTAAGATTTATATTGCAATGTGTAATCAAAAGAGAACTCTAAGCGTCACCATTTATTTAAAAAATACCTAAAAACATTTGATTCACAGCTTTCCCCTAGGTATGTCAGTTAGGTCAACTTACTAATAGGTTAAATGTAGGTGACATTAAGTTTGTTGGTAGCAGCTACACCAAACACGCCATTTCTCTTTGAGATGGTCAGTTCTTCTACAGTTGTTACAGAGCATAACGACTTGTATAAAAAACGTCTGGCTGCGTTTTTGGTGATAAGCAATGTCTCCCAAGGTTGATCCATAGAAACACTTTGCAGTGGCAGAGAACACCTGTGATTTATTGGTGACTGCATTATCCATTGTGTATCTCTGTGTGTGTGTTCAGATTCTTGCCAGAATCTATCATTTCGCCTTTGGGTACCAAAAGATTAAAAATGAGATCTAAGAAAGCTTAGTGTCCAGTATAGCTCTGACCCTGTCAACTTGCGGTGATTAAAGGCGTGTCTTGACTTTGGGGGACTCCTGGCTGCTGGCCATTTGGAAAAGGAGCAGTGACCATGTGACAGGTCTGGAGATGAAGAGAATGCTAAATTTGAGGTGTCAGTGTGACACTGAGATGTGGTCACTTGGCTTAGCGCTATAGCACGTGAAGGCAAATATACATAGAGTCACATTTGAAAGATTATTCATGGTCTCCGACCACTTGAAAAAATTGTGCTTTCTCCGGAATTTGATGTGCTGAAAATTGCACTCACCCCCTGCTTATCTGCAAAATTGAACATAAAAATGAAGTCCTTTGCAAACATAAGGCTTGCTTTTTCTTCTCATTACTTAAAAAATTAAATAGAGGCCTGAAAATAATGATGAGTTTTAGCTGTGTACAGAGTGACAGCCTGCCATTTCACAGGTCGATAACAACATAATACTTGCCCATTGGGGTGGGGGCATAGAATTTTTACTTGTCATCTTTGACTACGTAAGTTTCTTTCAGATTTTACATCCCACATCCGTGAACTGCAAATAATAGCTGGCAAGGTGTGACCTTGAACCCCTTGCTTCTGTTAATTACCTGTTAGTACAAAGGCCTTTTTGGTAAGCAGGGTGGGAACTGGGTGGTGCCCGAGTCAGCCAGTTTAATAGATCCTATTCATTTTGGAAAAGGATTTGCTTAACTCCAGGGGGATTTAAAGGGGGCCTTTAGACTCCAAACACCACGAGTTTCAAAGGAACCAGAGTTTCCATCTTCCATGCTTTTTCGATTCAGTTTTGGATTTTTGCTTGGGAGTTGAGGAGTAAGTCTCCTGAGAGTAAGGCGTAGGTGCGACCTGAGCTTCCTCAAAAGGATGGAGCTTCCTCAGAACTGGCTGGAGTTTGTCTTCTTGCTGTTTAAAGTCTAGCTCCACGCTGGAAAGAAAAGAGATGGAAGAATTTAATGCTTGGTCTTTCATATATAAAGATCCCCTTAGTGGCAGCAAAATTTGGCCACATCTACCAGTATAGTGACCATTCGTATTATGTTTATAATACAATCTGACGTTGAGTCATTGGCTCTAATGTGTTTTAGCTTTACGTCACTGAACTGTTTCAGGTAGACTCATTTTCTGTGAAAAATAACTTATTTGCTTTGATTTCGAATCTGTGAAGTTTTATTAATGTACATGATGGGTGTCAAAGTATATAATGAGGTTGTTGAAACGAACAAGGTGGCATCTGAATAGCCCTTATGCTTGTCCATGGACTTGTACACATGTGCTTCGTGGAGTAACTGACAAAGGCATGCGTGTTCAGAGGTCAGCTCAGTACAGAGATACCAGGTGTACGAACGCTCAGTCCTGCGCAGCTTTCCACAAGCCCAGAGAAACCCGGTTATCTCACTTGAAACAGCTGTGAAATGAAATGACCTTAGCTTATGTTCTTGCAAAATCTCATCTGCCTGACAACCTGGTAAGAGCCAAAATATCCAACACTGGGGAAAATAGTTTATCTAAAGTCAGCATCATTGAATGATATTTCGTTGTTATCTCAGACAGCTTTTCGGGATAAAACATAGATAGTCTTTGGGGGAAAATAACTCCAAATTGTAATTACATGCTAAAGCCACAGTGTGTGAACACGTCGGCCACATGGGAGGACGTTTGCCAGCAGTGACGGTTATGTTAGAATGACAGGATTAAAGATGATTTTTAAGTGCACATTGTTTCTTATGAACTATATTGAAAGGACACTCAGCCCGCTTAGAGCCCACTTCTCTTTGTGGCATCAGAAAGGCTCGCTGTTGGTTTCCTAACTCCATGTAACCCCTGATGGATTCCCTTGGCATTTGAGATAGGACCCCCTGGTTCAGTGACACCCCAGCCGTGGTGAGCTGTGCTCCCTCCCCTTCTACTGACCTTCCCTGCACCCCTATTATTTGAGCCTGGGTGCTGCATCACACCAGGCCTCCAGAGAATTCTGCTCTCTGCTCCTTCCTTGTCTGGTCTGGATGCCAGACTAAACGTCGGTAGATTTCAGTAAAGGCTCAGCAATGATGATAATACATGAGCTCATAACATTTTATATCCAGTGGAACTGAAAACCATTTATAAACATGAAATCCTATTGATTTTGAGAACCATTAATCCTAGCCAAATTTTGACATCTTGGAAAGACAAAACAGCAAAACTGCATTATCCGGAGTTTTAATAACAAGTGCAAGACCCAGCTAATGGGCCATTTTATGTTCTAAATCCACTCTTCCATTTTTCTTATCATCAAAGATTATACTGTTACTGGCGAAATTAAAAATATTGTCAGAGAAGTTTATGGCTAGTTACCCCCTGCTTCCAAATCAAGAATTATTTTTTTACCTTGTCTCAAAGGGCTGCAGTTGACAGGAAGTAGCATAAAGCCACATGAACTCATGCCTTGCTAATTTAGACCACATGATAAGGGAGGCATAGTGCCTCCTGTGTGGGGGGGTGACAAGTGCCTATCTACCTACATTCTGCTCCTGTTGTAACCTGAGCCACGTCTCGTGGTGCTGTAGGAAGCACGAGGATTTCCATCCTGCCTTCCCACTGGATGTTCGGGGCAGTGGGGACTCAGCCAAATTCACTTTCCTTCACTGCCCTGACCGTCTCACTGAGTTATGGTGAGGACCCCCTGCACTCACACACACCCCCCCTAAAGTAAAAAAGTTTCCTAAACTGTAAGGTGCAATTTCAATGTAATTTTATCCTTATTATCTACGAAGCTCTAATTGTGTGATTGGAATGAGAGCTAACAGTGTTGAAATAACTATTAAAGAACTCCCCAACTTGGACATTGAACAGGGAGACAACTTTGCAGCTGAATCTGTGAGTTAGAGTTTCCAGTATGGTAGGTTAGGGACGAAAGAGTAATTTTATCAAGGCTCTCCGTGAATAGTGAAAGCAGACTAGACTCCTAGATCATAACATTTCAACAGCTCAGGTGGGTTTTGAGTTATTAGATCGGAGGGCAGGTGCTAGCGTTTCCTAGGACAACTGTACACTTCTGGGTATCTGCAATTATTGAATTCCCATTAAGCAACCACATTGGGAATCCTGTTATTAACCAATTTATCATAGTGCAGAACCATGTAATCACGGAGTAATCTAATCTGAGTTCTTGTTAACAAAGTGACTTGACTTTATCTGTTGAGTTGATTCCTACTTGCACTCCCCCATGACTATAAGCTGCAGCTAGGCACAGGTTTCTTCCTGGAGCGAGTGTGTGTGACCTTGAGTGATTCCTGGGAAATGACTGCAGCAGGGCCAGCGAGGTGACCTTGAGCTGTGTGCCTGCTCCGCCTTCTGTAACCTGCAAGCTGTGATGCACCTGCCTCTGAGGGGATGCGTGTGACGGGCCGGGCTGGCTATCATTAGGTGGGCGTTGTGTGCTTTGCTGTGTATGCTGCCTTCTGCCCAGGGACTTTCCTCGCTGGGGAAGGAATCCACCAAATCTCCAGGTTCAATCTAGAGCAGCAGAGTCTTGCAGGAGAGGGCAGTGAATCGTTCGGTCCACTCTGGCTGAGCCAGAGCAGAGGGCCCTTCAGTCGGAACAGCTACATGGCCAGAAGAGAGCAGCAGCCAGTTTTGGCTAAAGTAGAGGATGTGCACAAAGGCTGCCAGTGGACATTCTGGGGCATTTTGACTCTGTGCACAGCCCCCACTCCCTGTGTAACACAGCAAGTTGTTCGGACAGAGAGGACCTGGGGGAGGCCATGGCCCTGCTTCGGGCCTCACCATTGATGAGTGACACCAGTGTGGGGACGTGGCCCGGCATGCTGCCTGGACATTGTGTGGCGTGTATTGTCACCCCTGCTGAAGGCACTGCTCCCGCCTTCATGGCGCTTACTTTCTCTCCTGCCTGAAACACCTGTCCCGGCTTGTGGTGTGACTGGCACCTCTGTCCCCAGGTACATGTTTCTCTCTCTCCCGCCACCTCTGGAAAATCCCCCCTGCCTTCTCTCTTGTTCCCTACTCACCATGGATAACTGTTTCTGTTCCGCCCACCCCTTCAGTCCCCACCCACCAATTGGGGGTGCCATGACCTGGGGACTCGTGCCCGGGCCTCCACCAGATGCCAAGTCATTACTGAATTACCGAATGAGCACAGAGCCTCAAAGGGCGAGTCCCACCCGCCTTCAGCCCCGGGTGGGCTGCAGTGCCCTGTGCTGGGTAGTGATGCTGCGGGTGCGCCCTTCCTCCCACTTGGGCTGCCCTGCCCGCTGCTGGATGGCGCTTCTCCAAGAGGCAATGCGGGACCCGCCCCTGGCACGGTCCAGGCCTGGCTCCCATCTCTCAGACTGGAACCGAGGGCGAGTTTGAGATTTGAGACATTCAGTGCCAGGCACACTGGGATCTTCTCGGAGCTTGGCCCCCTCACTTCTACCTCCGATTTTGCCTTTCCTGGAAGAATCTGTAGTTGGATCTTAGAAAGGATGAGTTGGGTCGGCTGGGGCGCTTGTGAGTGGCCAGCTGCTCCTGTGCTCTGCTCAGGGGAACCGGGGGTGTCATTTTACTCTCCTTCCATTTTTCCTGGAACCTGGAGGCAGGCTTGGGCCTGAGCTGCCGGCCCTGGTGATACTTTCCCCTGATGTTGCTTCTGGGCTCTGTCAAAGGCAACATGCCGCCCCTGCGCGGGTTGGACCTGCCTTCCAGAGTGGCTCCCATGCACAGGCTTATTACCTCCATTACACAGGCAGACAGGGCTGTTTGTATTCCAAGTCCGGGCTCCGGCTCTCATTCATGGTCTCTTAGGTCTTCACTGGGGTTCACACAGCCCACAGCAACCTCCACAGTCCCCAGGCCCAGCAGCACACACAGGGCAGGAGGCTGGTGGCAGTGCCACCCATATTCTGGCGCGATCTGGCATTTGCAGTGATGCATGTGTCCTGTTCACACTTCTTGGGAGGATAAGCAGTCTCGAAAAAGTCCTGACTGACTGTGGAGTTTCAAAGCATGCGTGTGAAGGGGCTGGAGCCAAGCCAGCCTTACCTGTGCTGGGTGTTCTGTACGTCAATACCTGAGTAAAACCCAGGCTGCAGACTGTGTGGTGAGAGAGAAGGTTCCCAGGACTGGGAGCTGCATCCATGTTATAAACCCCTGGAGCTGTTGTTTGCCTTTAGACTCCTCTTTTCCCAGCCCATGTCCTCTTCCTCCCACCAGACAACCCGGCCATCTGACAAAGTGCTTTTTGTGTTGAGAACCCCATGAAGCTGAGGCTGCACCTTGACGGCGGTACCACGAAGCCCCTCGCAGCCTCTGTGTGATTCACTGTGGTGCTCATTAGAGAAACGGGGCATAGATTTAATATCTCTAGTTGTTTTCTTTTAAAGAAGGAAGTTTTAAGTATAGGGACTCCGCTACAAAATTAATATTCTGTACATTTCCAAAGAAATGAAAAAATCTGCCTTAAATCTCAGGCTGCTCCGTCAGCTGGCACCCAGCTTTGTTTTTTTCCCACAGACTCTGCGAGGCTTGCACTAACCTTGTCCCTGCACATGAGGGGATTCTGCAGACGACTGTCGCCAGAGCTTCCCCAGCCGGTGCTCTGCTTGTCTATATTCCTATAAATACAAGGACCTGGCCCCAGTGTTCTTAGCAAGCTGTCGGCTACTCAAGTTAATGGAAGGGAGGGTATTTACAACACCCCTTTCCTCGATCCCCAGTGAGTAGCAGTTAAGAGGTAAAAGCAGGTGAGTTTGGCTCTCAAGCATTTGTTTTCTGGAGTCGAAGAAAACCCAAATCTCTGATTTCTCTGGGCTCAGCAATGCTGGCTGGCTCGGTGGGCTGCCGAGAAGAGGCCTCTGTTTTTAATTCTCTTTGAATTAGATCGCAGAGTCCCCTGGCACTGTCTGTGACTCAGACTGACTCACGTTCTGCTGCTGTGGATAAATCATG